ATTGCCTATTTGGAGCCTTGGGGTACCTATACTATTTTGGGGTTCCTTATTATACTTATAGTATAGTGGGCCCCCAAACCCTATTTAGGCCCCCTATATTACTTAAAGTAGCTGGGGCAGCATCCCGGCGGGCTTCGGCACTTGTCGCACCCGTTGGGCCGCATCTTGTGCTGCAGTTTCATGTTCCCCAAGTTCTTCTGTCGTAAACTGGGGTGCAAAACATTCGGCACAAGGAGATTGCGACGACTTGATCTGCTTGTCGTTCATGGTCTTACTGTGGATCTGCTGGTCCTTAGCCAGGAAAAACCAAGTCTGCACGACCAGCTGCAGGCCAGCATCCTCATCCAGAAGTCTTTCCACAAATGCGACATAAGTGTATATGTATGACTTAATTAATATAATTAGGAACAACCGGTTCAAGGCTTGCGGAACATTTAGGGTTCAGGGTTATGGGTTTTGTTTCTGGGATTTTGGGTTCGGCATGTGCTATGTAAGCTTTTGGGTGTAGCTGAAAAAGAGTCCATTGTAGTCCACATAATTATCTCTCAGGCGACACTTACGCTTTGGCTTAGGGCTGACGGCTTAGCTAGGGCTTAAGGTTAAGAACTTAGAGTCTGCATTTTGGGGCCTACGGTGTGGGCTTTTTGACTGGTTTGGTGACCCAGATGCTTCTTGGAATCTGTTCGGCTTGGCTTTTAGATCCTCATTACTTTCAGCCCAAGCTTCTAGTCTTCCTCTGCCCTACCCTCGCTTCGTAGCTCTATACCAGTTCTTCTCAAAGAACATGTTGCATATAAGATACTTTCAAACTCAACAGAGAAAGCATTACATACTCTAAAAGCATTCCTACAACAGAACAATGTGCTAATCCAACGGCAAATTTGGAAAGTCTTTTCGTATACTAGGCTTGCCATCACTAAACCCCCACCATGAAAACTAAAGCATGACCTCCCAAACCCCAAAGTATAAAACCGTTAAATCCAGGTCCCCAGGACCCACAGCCAAAAAGGGTTGAACCCCGAGCTCAGCGGCCCCGAAGAATTGAACAAACAACTGAGCTCCATACCCGAAACCTTGGCTTATAAGCCCGTTTCCTACACGTACGCGGAACCCCCCCGGGATTCACATACTCAGCCCTAAGCCCCCAGATCGACCCCGCAAGCGGCATAAAGCTTCTGAGCGCCCGCTCAACGGCTCAAAGTTCCAAATCCTAACACCCTAGATACATAAATATACACACATAAACAATAGTAGTTTAAACATATGTCAATGTGTATATCTATTCTGGTGTAAAAGTGACAGCTTGTATTTATTGATTTATACGCAAGGTAATATACAAACAAGCATCGAATTTGCACCGAAAACCTGGGGTGGTGGCGCCGTTATTCGGAGGAGGCGGCGCGCCCTGAAAGGACGTGATCACGTCGGCCTTTCCTGCGCGTGTTTTGGGGTTTAGGGTTTAGGTTCTTAGGGCAGTAGAGGGTTTATTATGTATGACAGTTAAAGCCGGGAACCTTACGCGAACCCTAAACCCCTAACCAAAGCTCAAACTGCCCCCAAACCCTATGAAACTGTTCAATTCAAAACTGCCCTGTAAGACCACTACACTGCCTGAACCCTGCACCCCAAACATTAACAGTTTAGGGTTTAGAGTTTTAGAGGTTTAGGATTTAGGAGTTTAATGGTTTGGGGGTTTGCGGTTGCGGGGTTTTGTACTTTGGGCTTCTAGGGTTCAGGGGCTTAGGGGTTTAGGGTTTAGGCAGGCCAAAGATATGTGCAAACGCAAACCCTCAACACTACACCCTCAAACACAACCTCGATTTCTCTAAGACCCTAGAGCCCAAGAAAGCACAGCATCCAAGTCAAGTGCTGCATATCCATAAGTCTGAAACATAAACCTTGCTACACGCTAAAACCATTCCACCCCCCAACCTAAAGAGCACTGGCCGGCCGTGATATCCCAAACCCAGAACCGATGCTCAAACATGCTCGGCCCACCACACCTTTCACATGCAAACCTTTGAACCCATGTGCGAAACCCGACCCCTAACTAGATTCTAACTCAAGATGTTCGAACTAACCTTGCAAGATGCCCTGAAGCCGCCCGTTAAACATCCCACGATGCAGGCCCTGTAGAAACTCGGTTTAGGGTTTAGGGTTTAGGGCAAAGCCCTATGAAATCTCCATACAACTCCTGAGCAACCCGCAAGAAACTCTATCTACACGACCCTGAAGATGAGTCTTACGTTTTTTGCTCAGGCACACCAAACCGCCAACCCTAAATCCTGCAAACCATGAACCTGACTTGTAACCCACAAAATACAAAACAAAAAGCGGCGTCCTGGCAGCTCAAGGAATTCGCCTCCCCGACCTTGCGGTGAGATGGGCGTTCACGCTTGAATTGTTGCTTCTGTTTCTCACCTATCCTTGGGCTTAGTGGTCAGATGCTCCTAAATTTAGGGGTCGTGGGTCGTGCAGATTTAGGAACTGGATTCGAGGGTTCTGCGAAAAAGGTTCAGGATTGAGGAAGGTTGAGTTTAGGGTTATAGGGTTTAAAATGTAGTAGTGACAACACTTACTTTTCTTCCCACTATTACACGCGATGGCTGGCAATCTACCGGTACCTCTCACAATGTTACGGTACCCAAAGGGTCCATAAACACTACCATTACCCCTAAACCCTAAACCCAAAACCCCTAACCCCTAAACCCTAAACCCTAAACCCTAAACCCTAAACCCTAAACCCTAAACCCTAAACCCTAAACCAGAGGCCAGGACTGTGGTTCGGGGGACCGACTTCCATAAAAGTAATATACCAGGACCCCCCCAACGGCCCTTTAATAGAGGTTAAAGGTTTAGGGTTTAGGGTTTAGGGTCCCCAATAGCAGGTATTTGGGATATAATGGAGGGTAGTTGGGGGGTCTAGGCGAACCCTAAAACCCTAAACCGTTATACCATGGACGCTCTTGGGTAATTATAGGGGCCTTCATAATTAGAATAGGGCTTTTGGGGCCCATGATACTATATAGTTATAATATATATAAGGAACCCCAAGATAATGTAGGTAACGAAGTGCGGGCGGGGGTTTGCACCCGCTTGGAAACCCTATGTCGGGAGAACCAAAGTTCGGAGAACAGATCTGGGGCCCTTTGGGGTTTAGGGTGCAGGGTTTAAGGGTTTAGGGTCTAGGGTTTAGGGGTTTAGGGGTTTAGGGGTTTAGGGGTTTAGGGGGTTTAGGGTTTAGGGTTGAGTCCATCACTCGACATACTACGTATTTAAGGGGTGCTTTTTTTATAGTTATACTCAAACCATGATAAGGGGCCATAAGGAGGACAAAAAAAGGATTCAGGCGTCTGCATCTGCCAGGGTTCAGCGCTTCTGCTGGCTTCAGGCTTTGAGGTTCTGGGGTTTAGCCTTGCGACGGCCGGGGGGCTTAAGGCTTGACTTCGCAGTGCAGGCTTTATAAGGTTCCTGCTTAGGGTTTAGGGTTTAGG